TGTCTCCAAAAGGTTGGGAAACACTGGTCTAAACTGAATCAAAAGTAGAGGGAAAGAAAAGGAAAAGAAATAAGATCTCTTAAAAATATCATTAAACACAAAGCACTCAACTTGTTTTTTAATCACCTTTTAGCAGAAAACGTTCAATTTCTTTCTTTTTGCATTGTATGTTGTAGGTCCCATAGAATATTATTAAGAAATCCCCATGTGTTCATATGCATTTGCCATAAAACCTAATGACAAGTTCTGTTACGCCACTGGAATTTACTTCCATTTATATGCTGCTTATCTCGTTTCACTAAACAACAGTAAGTCACGTCTTGTCCTCTTCTTTGTCAAAGAAACATATTGTCAGTCGGTATGATATCAAATAGTTTTATAACTTTAAATTTACTATGAAATGTGACAAACCTGCTCCATCATTGTCTTGTATTATTTGGCCTTTGAATGCTCATAAAGAATTCAATATCACTTTTTATTCTCATTATTCATTATTTGCATGTTATTAAACAAAACAATGTTGATGACATTTCAGACAAACCCAAAGTTTAATGACGCAGGATAAACTGTATTCCTATCACAACGTATACTCTAATTAAAATAATATCAACAGTAACACTGGCTTATAAACTCAAGAATTCCCTATGTTTGTATTATAAGTGATACTTGAGAAGTATTTGTAGGGTACAACTGAACTATTATTGTGTAAAAGTATGCTTTAGAAATAATCATAACAAGAAAATACAAACTTATTATAAATTCAAAATTGAGAGAAATATGTAACATAATAGATGTTATAATTTACAAGAAATAATTTAAACACATCGCGTTCACTGTTCAGTCATCATAAACAACCACATGCCAGGAGTCATTATAATAATATTACACACAGATTAAAAAAATAGCCCAGTGCTTAAGAATAAAATTGTTTTTGTTTGTTTTTTACGAAATGATAAACAATAAATCAGTTCTTGCTGAAACGATTTTCCCCTGCGTACAACCTCAATAAGTAAGCTAACAACCTTATCTGTAGATCTCTTTATTAAACAGCCTGTAGAAAGAGCTTATTTATATTACTAAAAACCACAACTGTACTAATATAAATAAATCACTAACTAATAGATGAACGTCCCAACAATACGCCCTTAATAACAATAACTTACTTCTAATAACTTATTCTCCTTTGGCAAAAAACGTGGCCTTGGTGATCATGTGCTGTTGGGCTCCAGATTTGTGTTTACGGACATCAGTTCATTGAAAGTGAGACAAGAGTCAAAAACATCAGGTCGCCTTTCTCTTCTCTTTGCAATTTATTTACAGCCTCAAAGGCGATGTAGAGAGCACAGAGGAGAACAGCAGGGGTGCTGAAAGTAAGTAAATATGAGTAAAGTATTGTTTTTACTACTTTGGGTTGTGGGGCTGAGTGCAGTCTGTCATCTCACTTTCACATGTGTCTCTTTATGAACCAGGACAGTGTTTCAAAGGTAAGGACTCATGAAATGTCATGTACGAGACACAGACAGGAAGTGTGAAGTGATTCTCTGTAATTATGCTTTTATACACATCTTTACACAGAAAATATTGTTTACTGCTATATTAAAGTTTCATAAAGAACCAGTAATAAAAATGCAACGTAAAGTACACATCAGTAAAAATATCTTTAGTATCTTTTCAGGTGGTGAATTAAT